GACCTAGGAACCCTAGGAATAGGAGGAATGTCATCCATACCACAATGAGTAGACTTCGAGTGACGACTATAAGTGATGAGAGGCTAAGAGGAAGACATGACACAAAACAATCGAAGGGGGAAAAGAAAAAACAGAGACATGAAGAGACAAGAGAAGGCAACAAGAAGGAGAAAGAAGAACATAACAAAACCTGAAAAAGAATAAAGGAGATAGAGACAAAAAGGAAGATATGTGGTCCCTAAAAACTATTTGGGTTTTCTGAATTTTTTTATTTTTTTTACAAAAGCGCAAAACTCAAAGCAAACAAAAATAAAAGAGTCAAGAACAAGATGACTAGTTAACCATCAACATATGCACATAGTGACAAGTCAAACATAACAAGAATAACAATGAGCAGCATTTGACTATAGATCCCATAGAAGACAAGTAATTTGTTTAGATCAAAAGAATTAAGTACTAGCACATATCTCAAGTGATCAAGAATGGCCAGCAACCTAAGTCTAGTCAATGTACTCCAGTGTAGGAAGAAAAATGTAAGAACATATGCAAATCAAAAACCACATAGACAATCCAATCTGAGAGATATAATATGAACATATTTCATGCTCAGAGACAGTGCATATTTAGGAATAGGGAGGGTCAAAGCCAAGGATACACAAGAGGTGATATACTATCAACTTTGGAGAGACAAGGATAGAAATGAAACTTCATGACAGAATCAAGGCATAGGCTCAAAACTTGTGTTTGCAAATCTCAGCACTCCCTTGTGACAGCATTTTTTATTTGGTTATTATTATTATTAATTTTTTTTTTGTTTACTTGCACATCCCAGATTTAAGTGCTTAAGTGGCCCAATTTTGAGGCTCTTTGCTCTAGATTCTGCAATCATATCACCTTATACCTTCCTAGAGCCATGACTACATTAGTCACACTTCCCTTTTTTAAAAAGAAAATTGTCTGAGAGAGTGAGATAGGATAAGCAACTATAGCAATGAATGTCCAAAGTGAATGAAAAATACTTGACTCACCAAGAAGATAGTATAGCACCACTTAAGCCACACCTAACAGCTCTCAACATAATAGGGATTATGCACAAGTCAATCAAAACATGAAGGTATCCAAATTTCACAACATCAGAAATGATTGAGATACAAGTGTTAGACATTTGCATATCAATGATTATTTAGCAGAGTTGACTAGTCAATTATAGGTGGGCTAACTAGTCGAGAGAAAAAAATTGAACAAAGGCCAATGGATAGTCTTAATGTGACATGTTTTCGAAAGTCCAGAGCCTTGGTGAATATATTTGCTAGTTGTTTTTCAGAGGGGACAAATTCCAAGGTTAAATTTCGTTTTCCACAAGATTCTTGAGTGTCGAACAAGATTTTTTGGAAATATCAATTGCACTCATGTTATCACAGTAGACTAGGAAGGATGATTGAGCAAGACCATAGTCTTTCAACATCTGTTTCATCCTGAGGAGTTGTGTGCAGCAACTCCCAACTGCTACACATTCGGCTTCAGCAGTGGATAATGAAATAGAGTTTTGTTTCTTGATATGCCAAGCAACAAGATTTTTTCCAACATAAAAGACTCCTCCAGAAGTACTATTCCCATCATCACTACATCCAACCCAATCAACATCACTAAATCCAACAAGATTGACATTAGTATCATAGGTATACCACAAACCAAAGTCAATGGTTACACTCACATATTTAATAATCTTCTTGATAACAAACAAATGGGACTTTTTGGGATCACTTTGAAACCGAGCACAAACTCCTACACTAAAAGAAATACCAGGTGTACTTGCAGTTAAATAGAGAAGGCTTCCTATCATGCTTCTATAGAGAGTTTGATCAATACTTTTCCCATGAATGTCTTTATGAATTTTAGCACTAGTGTTCATTGGAGTTCTTGCAGATTTTGCAGTCTTCAAACCAAATTTTTTCACCTAATTTTTTTGCATATTTTGATTGGGATACAAAGATCCCATCATGGCTTTGTTTCATTTGAAATGCTAAAAAATAGTTAAGCTCACCTATAAGACTCATTTCAAATTCAATAGTCATGACATGAATAAAATCTTCTGTAAATCTGAGGTAGATCCAACCGCAATATCATTAACATGTACTTGAGCAATCAACATATCCTTTTTGAATAGTTTGACAAACAAGGTTTTGTCAACCGACTCTCTAACATATCCATTTCCTAGAAGATGAGAGGATAACCTCTCATACCATGCTCTAGGGGCTTGTTTCAACCCATAGAGTGCCTTTTTCAATCGAAACACATCATTGGGATGATGTGGATCTTCAAAGCCTTTTGGTTGCTTAATATAGACTTCTTCATTCAAGATGTCTTTCAAGAAAGCAGTTTTGACATCTATTTGATATAGTTTAAACTTCAAGTGACAAGCAATAACAAGGAGTAACCTAACTGATTCTAACCTTGCAACTAGGGCAAAGGTTTCATTAAAGTCAATTCCTTCCATTTGAGTGTAGCCTTGAGCAACTAACCTAACCTTGTTTCTGACAATATTCTCTTACTCATTAGTTTTGTTGTTGAAAATGCACTTAGTACCTATGGCATTTGTTTCGACTAGTCTAGGAACAAGGTACCAAACATCATTTCTTATAAACTGATTTAGCTCTTCTTGCATCTCAAGAAACCACTCGCCATGTTTCAATGCCTCTTTCACATTCTTAGGTTCTTCCTTTAAGACATAGCATACACATGACTAATTTCCTTAGCTAGTTGATGCCTAATTCTCGCTTCCTGATTTAAAAGTCCAATAATGACACTCTCATGTTGGGTGAGAGGACTATTTTCAACACTTAACTTGTCAACATGAATTGGTAAGCTGGAATTGTGAGTTTGATTATCAAAAGTTGACATGTAACTACTAAATCCAAACTTGGAGATTCATCTTCTAGCCTAGAAGGAAATAGATCATCCTCATCTAATGCCATCTCAGTAGATGCAGCAAAATCATCAACATTGACATTTATGGAGTCAATGATAGTTTTGGTCCGACAATTATACACTCTATAGGCATAGCTTGAAGTAGAATATCCATGAAATATTCCCTTGTCACTTTTAGAGTCAAATTTAGCTAAATGCTCCCTATCTAGCATGTGCTACTAAAAACTCTAAAATAAGACACTTTAGGTTTCTTTCCTTTCCAAAGCTCATAGGGTGTTTGTTTAGTACCTGACCTCAAAAACATTCTATTGGAGATATAACAGGCTGTATTTACAGCCTTTGCCCAAAAGTGTTTAGTAAGATTTTGGCTTTTTAGCATTAGTCTAGCCATTTCAACAATGATTCTATTCTTCCTCTCCACAACACCGTTTTGCTGAGGTGTAATTGATGTAAAGTACTCATGCTTAATCCCCATTTCTCATAGAACTTATGAAACTAAGAGTTCTCAAATTTAGACCCATGATCTGTTCTAATCCTAACAATATGCAGTTGACTAGTCATCTTCTCCTTCTGTAGAAGGTGACACACATTTTTGAACTTTTGAAACGTTTCTGATTTCTCATCTAAGAATGAGACCTAAAAATCAGCAACAATAACCAGAATATATTTCTTGCCACCAAAGGACGAGGTTTGAATGGGGCCAACAAGATCCATGTGAATAAGTTCTAGACTAACCTTTGTTTCAATGTGTTTGACCTTTTTGTGTGACACTTTGACTTGCTTGCCTAATTGACATCCTTCACAAACATGTTGATCAGTTTTGTCAAGCTTTGGGAGACCACTTACTAACTCTTTCTTGGACAATTTGTGCAAGTCTCTAAAGTTCATATGACCAAGTCTTTGATGCCACAAAGATTTGTTTCATCCACTACCTTATTGCAAACCATTTCTTTTGCATCATCAACTCCATCAATGCAATATCAATTGTCAATTGACCTCGCCACACTCACAATCTCATTTCCACCTTTTCCAATGATTTTGCAACATGCTTAGAAAATCTAACTTCCACAACTCCATCATCACACAGTTGACTCACATTAATGAGATTAGATGTGAGACTCTCAATATATCTAACATTCTTAAGCTGAGGTAATCTAGGGATACAAACAGTACCTTTCCCCACTACTTGAGCCTTGTGACCTCCACCAAAAGTCACAAAGCCTCCGTCAATAGAAACTAGAGGTGAAAAGACACTTTTGTCACCAAACATGTGCTTAGAGCAACCACTATCAAAGTACCAAGTTTTGGTATTTGATGCAGCAAAAGCATTTAGAACAACAAGACTTTTGGTTTGACCGTTTACAATCCAAGTTGGTTTACACATGGTGGATGACTTCATAGAAGAGGAAACAAGTTTGGCAATTTTAGTGACTTCCTTAAGTAAATGATCAACTTGAAGTTGCAGTGATCTGGGATTTCGTCTAGACTTGGAAGACAACTTCTTGTTTTGATCTCTTTTGTTTCATATGACAAACAGGTCGAATATGACCAATCAACCCACACTTGTGATAGATTGGAACAAACTTCGGCTTCTTGACTACATACTGTGTATCATGGGATATGACTGGAATAGTAGACTTGACAAACTTGGTAGTTGAGCTAGACACACTAGATCCAATTGGATTATATCCAAGACCCCCTTTATCACCATGAATTTTTCCCATATTCAACATTTTATCAATTTTTGAAGCACCAATAGTCAAGGAGATAATTTTACGTTTTGCCTCATTCAACTCACCCAAGAGATGTTTGTTTAAGTTTTGGAAGCAAATATTACTCTCATTGAGCACATTAGCTTGATTTTCAAGATCTCTCCTAATTGACACAGACTCATCACATTCATTTTCTAGAGACTCAATTTTATCACTCAACTCCTTTTTGGTCTCTTTAAGAGTAAGAAATGCATGTTGAAGTTCATTGTAATTGACTTCAAGTTTGAGATTTTCCTCTTCCAAAGAGAAGGTCTCCTTGAACAAACCATCGTATTTTCTTCCTATGGAATCATATATGACTGGTCATTTGGATCATAGCCAGATTCATCATAATGAACATGCAAAGATGCTACAAATGTAATCTGTTAGTCATTATATTCTTCATATGAGGATGTGTCCTCTTGTGACGCATCACTCTCACTCGAGCTTACTTTCATAGTTTTGTCCTTTCCTTTGGAGTATCTTTTCTGATTATTTGCACAGTCAGCAGCATAATGCCCAATGCCTCCACATGTGAAGCATTTGACTAAGTTCTTAGGATCGCCAGTGACATTCTTGAAAAACTTGTCAAACTTGTTTCGCTCATTAGACCGATCAGTTGATGGTCTAAATTTTCTCACTTGTTGAACTATCCTTTCTAGCAAACTTCCCTTTTTCCTTGAGAATTATTCTACACTTTTCAACGAACAAGGCCATCTCATCCTCAAAAGCTGAGGATTTTTCACCATTTTTCAGTAAAGATTCATGCACTCCTTGAAGTGCAACTCCTTTTAAATTTTTGGTGTCATTTTCCTCCACATTCGACTCCATCTCATAGGTTATCAATTTACCCACAAGCTTACCAAGTTTTATCCGATTTAGATTTTGGACTTTCATGATTGTTGTTTTCTTTGGTCTAAACCTAGAAGGAATGACACGAAGAATTTTATGAACTACAAGGAGTTCTTCAATGGGTTGGCCAAGACTCATGGCTTCATTTGTGTTCATTTCAACCTTCTCATAAAAATCAGAGATGGTCTCAGCTTCTGACATTCTAAGCTCTTCAAATTGTGCAAGCACTATTTGAAGTTTGAGTGATCTAACTTAATCATCCCCTTAATGGACAACTCTCAGTTTATCCCAAGCTCGTTTGGCAGTTGGAATATGTTGAATGTGAGAGAACTAGATGCTAGACATGGCTGTAACTAAAGCATTTTTGGCCTTCTTGTTGACATTGGCAGCAAGATACTCAGGTTCTGACAATTTAGATCTTGGTTTTGGTACAGATTGACCATCAACAGTTTTGACTGGATGAGTCCATTCTTTTATGAGATATTCATATGCACGCTCATCAAGAACATCCAGGACTATGTCAAAATTTCTTCTCCAAGTAGCATAATTATTCCCATCAAAGTATGGAGGGGAATTGCAATCACCAGCAACTCTGTCCCTTTCCATGGTAACACCACCTAAACACCAACTATCCTCATAGGATCTCTCTATTTGCGTTAAGAGCTGGAGCTCTAATACCAATTGAAATTGGTACTTAGGTGAAGAGGGGTAAATTAAAGGCTACTTTAAATACTTACCAACTACACAAATCTTAACTTAACTAGAGATCAATATGACTAGTCAACTATTAGTCATAAACTAGCAGCAATCACACACATAGACGAAACAATCAATACCTACAGGCCTAAAAGATCACTAGTGACAACTTAGGCACTCAGAAAGACTCGTCAATCTAAGCATCCCCTATGCTAACATCAAGATCATATATATGTAGCAACATTCAAATGATGACTAGTCAACAGCACAAACACAACACTAGAAAAGCATGAACAACAAACCCAGAAAATTGTTAACCCAAAAACCTACCATTGGGAAAAACTGTGAGTCATCATCCAAACAGGCAATCCACAAAACAAAGAAGATTTTTATAGAAAAATCACAAGCAAGCTCAAGGAAACCTAGATCTATTTAAGAAATAAGTTATATCTCCTCCATGCAATCTTCTTTTCCAAACTTAGCAAAGCTTGCAGCTAGTTCTTCATAGCAATGGCAACGTCTTCCTCAGCTCGTTCATCACATAGCACTAGTTTACACAACTCAATCTCCAAATAAGAACCAGAAATTTGGATTCCAAATGAAATGATCAATTCCTTCAAGAAACCATACTATTGAAGAAATCAATTTAGAATCTGACATAGATCTATAAGAAAGTGTTTGATTTAGCTAGATGCAGATTTCATCTTTCAAGGTAGTTTTCAAAATCAAGTTGAAAAATTCATTTAATGAAAAGATAGAGAAATTACTCCAAAGAAGAGGAGACTAAAGGAGGAGAAACTCACAACCTCTCAAAAACCCTTTTGTTGAAGTGACGGCTGCAAAAGAAATGAAGGGGTCATTTGCCCAAAACATCTAGGTTTGAAACAAACAAAAGCAAAAGAATATCATAGCCACCCACCACCCAACCCAAAGCCACCCTCACCACCACCACTCCAACCTTACCTAACATCACCCATCTAGCAACCAACCCTTACCACCCTCCCACGACACAACTTCTCAAGACACCCCCACACCTCTCTCTCTCTATTCCTCTCTCTTCAAACAAGCCCAGCCCCGACAT